GCAATGTGAAGGGCGGACTGATTGTCACAGTAGAGGGTCATTGGGTCATTGTGTGAGATGCCAATGTCATGGAGAAGCTGTTTCAACCAAATTAGTTCACATGTTGTGACAGCCATAGCACGATATTCAGCTTCTGTAGAGGAGCGAACCACTGTAGTTTGTTTCTTAGTGCGCCAAGAAATGGGACTGGAATCAAGTGTGATGAAGAAGCCAGTGGAAGAGCGTCGAGTGGTAGGACAACTAGCCCAATCAAAATCTGTGTAAGCACGAACATGAAGATTATTAGAGGAAGAGAAAAAAATGCCTTGTCCAGGAGTCCCTTTAATGTAGCGAAGAACACGTGTTGCAGCTGTCATGTGAGGGGTCCGAAGCGCATGCATGAATTGGCTAAGAATGTTTACTGCAAAGATGATATCAGGTCTGGTGATGGTGAGGTAAATGAGGCATCCCACTAACCGTCGGTAAGAAGGGGGATCAAGAAGAAGGTTACCATCTGTGTCATTGAGTTTCAAATTTTGTTCCATAGGAAAAGGTGCAGGACGAGAACCAAGCTGACCACTGTCGGCGAGGATGTCCAGGGCATATTTTCGTTGATTAAGAAAAATGTCAGAGGGAGATCGTGCAACTTCAAGGCCAAGAAAATATTTGAGAGGGCCGAGAAGAAGATAACCTGAGAAAGATCATTGCCAACAACCAAGATATCATCAACGTAAACAAGGATAATAGTGAGACTGGTTGCAGTGATCAAGGTAAATAGGGAGTGGTCTGCTTGTGACTGAACGAAACCTGCATTAAGAAGAACAGATGTTAGGTTAAAAAACTAGTTCCAGGAAGCTTGTTTGACGCCATAGAGTGACTTTCGAAGGCAGCAGACTCGTGTCTCCCCACAGTAGCCGGGTGGTGGGATCATGTAAATTTCCTCATCAAGTGTACATGCAGGAAGGCATTATGGATATCCATTTGGTGGATGACCCAATTTTTGGTGGCGGCAACAGCAAGGACACAACGTACTGTGGTCATCTTGGCAACTGGGGCAAAAGTTTCATGATAGTCAATTCCCTCTAATTGAGTGTAGCCTTTGGCTACAAGTCGGGCCTTATATCGTTCAATAGTGCCATCTGCTCGGAGTTTGGTTTTGTATACCCACTTACAACCGATGTGTTTCTTGCCATGAGAGAGGGTTTCTAGTGTCCAAGTGGAATTTTCTTCAAGGGCACGAAGTTCAGAGGCCATAGCTTCACGCCAATGAGAGTGGCGATTTGCTTCTAAGTAACAAGTCAATTCAATAGAAGCAGTAAGAACAGTTAAGAATGAATAATGAGTATGAGAAAAACGAGAGTATGACAGATAAGTGCATAAGGGGTGGGAAATACCTGAGGACTGTGCAGCGGTTGAGGAGGCAATGGACTCTGCAGGGATAGTAGGACAAACATAATCAAGGAGATATGCTGGACGAGTAGTGTGGCGACAAGGTCGGGAAGGAATAGTGGCGGTGGATAGGGGTTCTTGGGGTATGGTCGAGGAAGGGAGAGGAGATATGGGTTCGATGATAGGTAAGGGAATGATGGTGGAGTCATTAAGAGGAAGGGGTGTGATGTGATGGAAGGGAACTTGATTTTCGTGGAAGGTGACATCGCGTGAGTAAAAAATGGTGTTGGTGTCAAGGTTGTATAGCTTGTAAGCTTTGCGGTTGCTAGGGTAACCAATGAAGACACAACGAGATGATCTGGGTGAGAATTTGTCGCGATGAGCGATGAGGGTTTGAGCGTAATAAAGGCAACTAAACACACGTAAGTAAGTGTATGATGGGGGTGTTGAGAAGAAGTTGGAAAGGAGTTTGATTTTGTAGGGCGGCATGGGATTCTATTGATTAGATAAGCAGCAGTAAGAACACAATCTCCCCAAAATTTGAGTAGTAGGTTTCCCTGAAAGTGAATACTGCGAGCAACATTCAGGAGGTGCCTATGTTTACACTCTGCAACGCCATTTTGTTGCGGAGTTTCAACACAAGTACGCTCATGGATGATGCTGTGAGTGTGAAAATAGGTTTGGAGGTTATGTGAAAGGAACTTTTGTCCATTGTCGGTGCGAATTATTTTAACCGATGAGTTGAATTGATTTTTAATAAGAGCGAAGAAATGCATTAAGTGACTAAAGGTTTCTGATTTAAAACGCATTAAATAAATCTATGTAGTGCGTGAAAAATCATCAACAATAGTTAAGAAATAATGTGCGCCACAAATGGAGGTGGTAGAATAGCCATCCCAAATATCACAATAAAGACGATTAAAAGGTTTCGAACTTTTATTAGCATAAACTTGAAAAGGTAAACGAGTGTGTTTTGAACGCTCACAAACATCACAATGAGATAGAGTACATGGATTATCAAAAATTGTAGGAGTAGTAAAGCTAGAAGAATGACTTAGGCGTTGATGCCACAGTGTCTTATTATCAAGATGACGAACAAAGAATGCGACGGTCTCATGGGAGCGACAGATGTAGAGCCCATTACATGTCTCACCCGCTCCAATCAGCCTCTTCGATGGAGGGTCCTGAAAAAAATATTTATCAGATGAAAAAAATAACACAAGATAGATTTTTAGTAAGTTGAGGGATAGAGAGAAAATTATAATAAAAGGAGGGGACATAAAGGACATTTTGAAGAATTAAATGGTCAGATAAAGGCACAGAACCAATTCCTTCAACAGAAATAGTTTCTCCCGTGGGTAGCCTCACTGTACGAGCAATGGGAGACAAATTTAGATTAGAGAAGGAGGATCGACAATGGCTCATGTGATCACTAGCGCCACTGTCAATGATCCAGTCCGTCTGTGGGTTGAAGGAGCAAGGCATTGTGGAGGAGTTACCCACGAAATTAGCGGCCGGAGAAGGAGGATGAAGGAGCGTCATCAGCTGCTAGTAGTTTTCCTGTGATAGACTCGGGATGGGGCTTGAGGTGGAGTTGACAAGACTAGCAGTAGCAACAGGTGGTTTTCCAAGAAGTGATGGTTGATTGCTGCGGGGTTCACGGCCAGGAGGGTAGCCAATAAGGAGCCAACATCGATTGCGTGAGTGTCCAATTTTTCCACATTCAGTACATTTGGGAGGGGCTCGATAGTTGTGGGTGGACTTGGTGCAAGGGCTAGGTTTTCTGAGAGTGACTGAGGGACATGAAGGAGTCGTTGTTTCTCCTCTTGGAAAAGAATAGAGAAAACTTTGTTGAGGGGTGGAAGAAGATCCGTGGCTAGTATCTGGGTTCGAAGAGCCGCAAATGAGTCGTTGAGACCCAGTAGAAACTGGAACACACGCTCTTCCTCGGCTCTCTTTTCCAAAGTACTAGCATCGGTGGGTGATTGAAGATTGCCGAGTTCATCCGAGATTTTCTTGATGCTGTTGTAATAATCAGGAATGGAAAGTTGGTTCTGATGAAGGTTGGATATTTCTCGTTTGAGATGGAATAGGTGGGCATTGTTGCCATGGCAGAACCGTGACTCAAGGTCGAACCATACATCATGGGGATCGTCATGGTAATCCAAGGAATTGGCTAAGGAGGGAGTGATGATATTAAGGATCCAAGTCAGGACCATGTCTTTGTTCCTACTCCATTGGGCATAATCAGGAGAAGTTGTGTTTGGTGCTTTGAGGGAGCCATCAACAAAGCATAATTTATTTTTTGCATTAAGGACTCACAAAGTACACGTTGCGATTTGGGGAAATTATCTCCAGTGAGATGGCCGGTTACAAGAATTAGACTAGGGGAATCAGAAGGGTGTAGAAGATAGGGAGAAGAAGTTTGGGAAGCAAGAGCATCGAAAGCCATGAGAATTTTGGGTGAAGGTATGTCAGGATTTTTGAGACTCTGATACTATGTAAAGAAGTAAAATGGTAGAAACAATTATCTTACATTTCTCATTGATCAGTATACTTTATTTACTTATACATGGACATGGTTTACATGGAAATAAAATCATCTATACAAAATTCTTAGTGATGACTAAAATCATGGGAGCTAAAGTTTAGCTAAACTTGTGGGATTTCTATATGCTGTAATACTGAAATCATGGGAGCTAAAGTTTAGCTAAACTTGTGGGATTTCTATATGCTGTAATACTGAAATCATGGGAGCTAAAGTTGTGGGATTTCTATGTGCTGTAATAATAATGCTCAGAAAATGTAAATTATTTCAATAATTAACAATTTGTCTTTCACATGACACGTACCTAAGTAGGAACAGAAACTCAGATGAAGTATGATAAGGTAATGCTAAAGAAAATATTGCAAGAGTTAATGGGCAACTGAATTAAAATTCAAAATAGAAGGCAAGAATCCTATCAATTTCTTCTTTCGGCAAACCATCTAAACATAAGGCAGAAGTAACAGTTGCCTGCACGTGCAGCATTCGGTGGCAAGTGAAACTCAAGAGCGACTATCCGCAGCAATGCCTGAACTTTTTTGTTGGTTGATGCTATGGTTATTTTCCCACTATTGGACAATTGCATCAACAATATTGAGAATAATATCATATGAAAAATATACAGTAGGTACAATATGTTTTAAGATCGAGTTTCATCTTAAAAAGGTAACATTGTTAGGATGAATAACTCAAATTCTTATATTTTGATCTAGGTTTCGGTAATTAACTGATATGAAATTTATCCCTTAATATACCCTGCAAGATAATTATTATTTGAGTAGACCAATCTTAGAATCTGTGCGCTCATTTGAGTTTTAGTAGGATCAAACAACTCATTTGAACTTAATGGACTCTGATATAATATTAAAACTTGAAATTTCATCCTAAAATTTTAACATTGTTAATAGGAGTAATCAAGTCCTTGTACTGGTCTATATTTTAGTAATTAACCAAATGTAGAATTTAGCTCTTAACAATACACTAGTACCAATTGATGCAAATGGGAAGAAAGAAAGGAGGAAAAGAAGAGAATAAGAAATGGGGAACTTGGAAAAGATATACAGTACAAATTAAATTTCAATCACTCAATATATGAAATCAGTAGTCTAAATTATTCAAAAATAAAAGTGGAATTTCTACCTATCATTCACAACAAGAATGGAAATTTGCGAAAGATTGAATTGAAATATTTCCCAACTTAGAAAACAAATGAATATTGCGAGAAAATGAGCAAGAATTTAGTTTCTATTTTTAAGCTGAGAATAAGTGCACATTTTTGACGAGTCTCCATCACAATCTCCACTAACAGATCCTACTCGTCAGCCGATTTGCCTGTTCTGATCTGTGTGTCTGAAGATACATGGACTGGTTCAAATTATAGGTTCGCTACTCTTTATGAAACGCTGTATTGTCCTGTTGAATCGTGCTTATTGTTAAATAGATAACCAGTATCAGCTAACTGAAAATGCAAAGGCAGTTTACAAATGTAATTTACCATCAAACTTGGTCCATTAAATGGTGGGGGCAAGATAAGGCATCATCCTTATGTGATTGTTTTACGAATTGATGTGAGAGCAAGAAGCTAGCTTTCGGCCTCTCTGCTGGATTTCTTCGCAAGCAGCAACGCAAGAAATCCTTGCCATCAGCTGACAATGTTTCAGGTATTGGTGGAGTCTCCTTTAGAACCTTGAATAAAGCTGCAGCCTGAAATAGATAAATTGGATAACATGCAATAAATTAGTGGATAAAAAAAGATGAATATCCTGACTTCATAAATTTCTAAGTGAATATCTTGAAAAGAAAAAGTGGACACAGTTGTGCTGGAGGCGAGGAAAATAAAACAAAAGGAGAAAAAATGTGATTACTCAATATCCTGTGCTTACTTACCCCTTCATATTCACTCCAAGGAGGCTTTCCATTCAGCATTTCAATTATAGTACAGCCCAAACTCCATATATCGACTGCAAAAGCAAGATTGGAACTAGCATACTTCTGCATCGAGGACTGCAAGAGCTGTAAAAAATGGTATGATGTCAGTGCGATAAAACATTGATTAACAGGATAAACGACTTGAGCTTGCAACATAAATGTACCTCGGGGGCCATCCAATACGGACTTCCTTTTAATGACAGATTAGCCACTTGCTCAGGTAGCTGTAAACCGAGATGTAAGTTACAAATTCAAACACGATATATCCAAATAAAGTAACTGACGAGGAGGAAGTCGAACATGAAAAGTGGTGAAATAATTGTAAAGCTACAATGAATTCACAGAGCAGCATGTATGATCTAATGGTTTTGCATTTTTCTAAATCAATGGTAATGTCCATTTATTATTAATAATAATAATAATAATAATAATAATAAAAAAAAAAAAAAATTACGGACGGGAAAAGGCCTACAATGCAATTGAAGAGGAAAATACAGAAAAATGGACATAGACAAAATGATCTCGACCAAACATCAACTTATTGTACTGAACTCATTAGATAGACATAAATTTACACTTCCTAATTACAATCTTTAGTAAAACACAGAGAGAAAGAAGATATTAGATATCCTGTCTCAGTATTGGATTTCAAGAATACAAAGACAGGTGCCCGAAAAAGAGAGAAATTCATTTAGTTCTACTATCTCAAGTTACACTCTCATGCATAATCACATTATGATAGATCTCATAGGGCTCTTTAAGAAATATCAGTCATTTAATCTACTGATTGTTGGATCTCTGAAGTTCACTGTTCTTCACCCACCCCCCCACCCCCATCCCCGTTG